TTGATGCATTTTTCAAATTTCGCCTTGGGGCGGAGTTATCTTTTCACAGGGGGGGTAAGTTGCGTCTTTAAGGAGCAACCTTCATTTCCGGAATGCAATAGTCCCATTTCCATATAAGGTATGGCACCGACGGAAAGGTCTGTCACCGCCCCGAGCTGCATGCTGCAGCGAAGTGTACCTCGTTCTCCTTAGCAGCTGAGCAAAAATACAGCTAGCATTTCCAGTCCGCAAGCCCTAAAATTAAAATGAATCAAGCTGTATGTGCAGTTCACTTTAACTCGAATCTACAAAATGCTAAATGTAAATCCACACAGACTTTAACAGGCTTCTGTAATGAAAAACATTTTGTTGTGCTCAGAAGCAAAGAAAAGGACTTGAAATTCAATCTCAAACCCGCAGTGTGTGCATACGGAGACTTACTGCAATTTTGTTCACAAATTCACGTGAAAACTGTGAACAAATTCTCTTAGAACTGGGATGATTAGAAAAACTGCTTTTTAAAATGAGTCAGTGATAAGTCCATTCTATCCCAAGGTCCATGAAAGTCCTGAATTGTCCCAGTTTAAAAAATATTTCATAAACAGAGGGGTGCAAAAGTTTGGGCAGCTTTGTTCATTTTCCTGATTTACCTTTATAAATCATTGATTGCTTGGATAAAAAAATCAGTTAAATATATCATATAGGGGACAAACAGTGATATTTGAGAAGTGAAATGAAGTTTCTATAATTTACAGAAAATGTGCAAATACTGGTTAAACAAAATTAGGCAGGTGCATAAAATTGGGCACTGTTGTCATTTTATTGATTTCAAAACCTTTAGAACTAATTATTGGAACTTAAATTTGGTTTGGTAAGTTCAGTGACCCTTGACCTCCATATACAGGTGACTCCAATTCTGAGAAAGGTTATTTAAGGGGGGCAATTGTAGGTTTTTCTCCTCTTTGCATCTTCTCTGAAGAGTGGCATCATGGGAATCTCAAAACAACTTTCAAATGAGCTGAAAACAAAGATTGTTCACCGTCATGGTTTAGGGGAAGGATACAGAAAGCTATCTCAGAGATTTCAGCTTTCAGTCTCCACTGTGAVAAAYATTGTGAGAAAATGGAGGACCACAGGCACAGTTCAAGTCAAGGCTCAAAGTGGCAGACCAAGAMAAATCTGGGATAAACAGAAGCGAAGGACGTTGAGAACAGTCAGAGTCAACCCACAGACCAGCAACAAAGACCTACAGCATTATCTTGCTGCTGATGGAGTCACTGTGCATCGTTCAACTATTCAGCACACTTTACACAAGGAGATGCTGTATGTGAGAGTGATGCAGAGGAAGCCTTTTCTCCGCCCACATCACAAACAGAGCTGCTTGAGTTATGCTAAAGCACATTTGGACAAGCCAGCTTCTTTTTGGAATAAGGTGCTGTGGACTAAAATAGAGTTATTTGGGCAGAACAAGGTCAAGTATCTGGGGATCTTGCTCACGAATAGGGGAAGAAGGGAGCGGGAGATCGACAGGCGGATTGGCGCAGCGTCCGCTGTAAAGCGGG